ACCCAGAAAGGACATTTTCAGCCTGTAGCTTCCAACTTTGAAAATTCATGAAAAATTCATTTGACATCCAAATTGGGCAAACCTAATTTATTTTGGAAGTAAACATATGAGAGTGTAAAACTGAAAATTTAAGCCATGATCCAATGTCAAAAGGTTAGTGAAATAAATCATCTAAAAATATGTTTTCCAACTACAATAAAAACATGGACAGCAGATAGTTTTGAATTTTTAAAAAAATTTAGAAATTCTTTAAAATAGTAAAAAAATTCTGGGTAGTGTAAAACCCATGGAGGAAGTTCCAGTAAAAATTTCAAGGCAATTGAAGCACCACAGCTCCATATAAAAATTCATTTCCGGACCAAAAAGAAAAAGCTTCAAATTTCCGGCAACTAGCTTACAACTTCAAAAATTCATAACTAATTCATTTTAAATCCAAATTACATGAAACCAAAACTAAATGAAATCTAATTGAGTATATTTTCATATTCTATATTTAATTTGACAAGATTAATTTTAAGTTAAAATAGTTTAAGGGCAAAATACAAGTCATTCTCTTCCATGCATGTAAAACACTCAATAATGATATAAAAATACTTCAAAATAATAGATCAATACCTCACTAGAGAATTGAATCTCTAGATACCAAAGTAAAACTAGGAGTTAGGCTAGATCCTTCAAGGGTTTTGAAGAGGAGGATGAGCGGAACAAAAAAGTATTCCAAACTTTATGGTCTAAAGTAAGTGGAAGGGCCTCAAAGATCAAGGTCAATGCCTAAGGCTTCAAGCTCCATTCATGGAGGCTAGGGTTTTCTTGTAAGGAAGAGAATGAAATAATGTGGTTAAGTGTGAGTGGAGGAAATAGAAATCCTCCACTCACTATGTGCTCTTACACCATGGTCAACACACATTTATGGCCAATTGCATAAAAACCCTCCTTTAAAACCATAATCCCAAAGTGACCCAAAGATATTTGCAAGACTAAATTGTGAACCTACACTTGTCACCAATCTATGGCTCCTTCTTAGGCTTAATCCCACACCTACATTTGTCAACCATCCAAATCAACAAGTGCACCAATCCTAAGCCAACAAGTGGGTGAATTCTCACCCTCTAAATGTCATCATCCAATGCATTAAAGTGTTTCCACACAAATGTCAACAAGTGGACCAATGAGAGTGGGACACTTGTCACACTTTTCAAAAATTGCAAAAAGTCCTTTTTAAAAATATCTTCCAAATTTAATTACAAAATGGTTCCCAAGATGAAAAATAATTACTTTATCTAATTACACTAAAATCCCACAAGTTAAGAATAATTACACTAAAGTATACATTAATGCCCCTTTATGAAAGAAGTAAGCAATCAACATGCTTTTTTAGAAAAGTAAAAATACCACTATCATGAAAATCAAATATCATAAATACATGCAAAACCGGAATCAAATCCGATCACAAAAAGTGAGGTTGTGCAAGGAAAAAGGATAAACGAGAAAAAGACAAAATGTGAATAGTGTTCGGAAAAAATAAAATATGGAAATGACACAATCCCCAAAGGAAGTTGTCAATCCAAGGAAAAGAGTCTCGGAAATCATTCCAGAGCACTCGAGACGATATCAATTGATGAAAAACCGAACCCAAAAAGGAAAAGACAATGGAAAAAAAATATCCGTTAAAATCTGAGAAAAAGAAAAGGAAGAAAAATGACCGGGTCATTACAGGGTCGTCACATGACACACTGGCTTAAAAAACCAGGGTCGTCACACTCAACATGTTATAATCGTGAATATAACATATATAATATATTACCTATTTAAACCCAAATACTATAAATAGTTATGTTATTTCAACATAAATCTTGTCTATGCCTTATGATTTTTCTTTTTATTTTAAATATTTGGGTTAATTATGACAATTTTTTCTATTATTATTATTTGATTAAATATTAAATGTCTCATTTTGATAAACATGTCATTAAACGGGTTAACGCGTTTACCTGTTTAATAAATGGGTTGGCTTAGTGTTGAGGATTCTTGACACGATTATTAAATGGGTTGGATTTGGATTTACCTATTTAGTATAATACTCTTACAACGACACGAACACGATCCATGAACACGAATTGCCACCCCTAATCAAAAGGTATAATGTTTCTTTCATTCTTTATTTCCTTCCTACTCAACCAAACAACATGAAGAAAAGCTCATATTTTGGTGATACATTTTGGGTAAATTATATTGTACTCCTTGATTTTAGGTCAAATTTTATATAAATGGACATTTAGTTTTAACTTTCAATTACATTTGAAAGAGTGAATCCCACCTGTCACTTTTTAATGGTATCAATGTACTTTTTACATGAAAAATGACTATATTATCATTTTGACTTCTTGTTGACTTAAAAAGGGTGTTTTAATTTTTTGATGACAAAAATACCCCCAGCAGTTCTCAAAAAGCCATCAACACCACCCATTACTACTATCCAAATCTGTTATTTAAAGTAAAATAACATAAAATAAAAATAAATTAAACTAATCAATTAAACATTTAAGGTAACACATAATTTCAAACAAATACACTATCAAATCACCTCAAACAGACACACAAATAAAACACACAATACTCATTAAACAATTAAATTATTTAAGCACATAAACACATACCCATATAAAACACATAACCACATAATCAATTAAAATAAATAATTAAATCCAAATAATCCCAAATAAATCTTTTAAAAATTAGGGATATTACAATTAGTATATTGGATTGATAAATAATAGTTATCCAAATAACTAATTATTGTGGAGGGGTCAATGTATAATATTAAGTAACAGTTGGGGCCAAATTATAATTATTCGTATCTTAACTAAGGATTAGCAGTGGACTAGAATTCTATTAAAGTTTTAGATAAAGATATGCCTATCAGATGCCACTCCTAGTCTAACATGGAATGTAAGTAGTAGATCAAAAGGTAAATTTGTGTAGAACAAGAAGATGTAAATACTTTGGGACTTTTCCAAAGTAGTATAATTGTTCCTAAGCTCCAAGATCCCAGAATTTTTATATTATAAAGAGATAATTACATTTGTTTCTGAGCAGATAGATATATTTTTATAAATCAGATTATTTTTACAAATTCTAAAGAAGATTTGAAGCCCACAATTTCAACTACTTGAAGATTTCCTAACCAGAGATAAGAGTGAAGATCTAAAAGGTACCACAGTTGATACAACATCGAAGGATTGTGGATTCCCAATCTGACAATCAATTAATTAATTGGTGGCAGATAATTATTCAATCGTCTACGAGGTATGTTGATCTAAACTTTTTCGGTAATGAGGATTGAATTATTTTGTTAAAATTGATTGAGATGATCATAGGATGCTCGTAGAGAATATTTTTATTAATATCTAAAAAAATTTCACCTATATTATTTTTATCGTTCTACGGGATAAATTCCCAACACAAACACTCAGCTCCCTTGAGATTTAATATAAATAATTAGAAAATCAAAATTTTATATTTTTTCAATAAATTCTTAAAAAAATCATTTTAAGTATTAATGATGCTAAATCTCCCGTTGCGAGAAAAAATTATTCACAAATTCACTTTTTGTACTTAGCACCCTTTTGAGCACCCAAATTTGGCTAGGTATGGAATAGTTGACTTTTCACTTTATTTGACTTTTCTATTGGAGAATGGCGGATTGGATGGCTCATTGGGCTCAAAATGCTTGTTTAGGACGACTAAGACATCCCAGAGTGTTTTGATTGAGTTGTTTGGGCATTTTAAGGTGATAAATTACAATTTTGACCATGTTTGAAGGGTTTTTGGACCTTTCGGTTGTAATGGTGACGTTAAATTTATGATTTGACCCGATCGTCAGATTGTCCTTTTTCTTGTTAAAAATGTGAAATGACTATTTTGTCATTCTCTTGATCAAATGGTCTGGGGATGCCTTATACACAAGGCATGAAGCATACCCAATGTTTTTGGGTGGTTTGGAAGTGATGGAGAAGTCTAATTTTCAATCTGAAGATCAAATTTCCTCCTGCGTGTGTGAGTTGACTTTTTTACCCTTATCTTAGGGTTTAGTCAATTTGGACTTTATAATGGGATTAAATCCCAATTTGTAGCATATCCTAATGTTCTAGGACCTTATGATTATAATGGTGAAGTACGCTTGTCATTTTAAGAACCGAATCAGTGTCATAAGGTACAAAAGTATGATTTTGTGCTTAACTAGGACTTGATGATCGGATGTCGAGAATCATTTTATGACCTTGACTCTAGGTGTATCTCAAAGTTTTGTGATGCTCTGGACACCATGGTAAAATTGGATCTTTGATCCATGCGTCGGAATTTTCTCGTGTTGTCAATTCCTACCAATTGACCTCGAAATCGAGAAAGGATAAAATGGGGTGTCTATAAAGACAATTACTTAAAAAATGTAGGGATGTCTCATCCATCATTTATTCTCTCCATTCCATTCAAATTTTTTTTTTTTCTTTCCTTCCTAAAGGAGCATAATGGTAAAAATATACTTGAAACAATGGAGGGTAATTTAAACATTTTATTTTATCAATTTAAAGAAGGGGGAGTTAGAACAAATTAAACCAAACCTCATGGGCTATTAGAGCAATTTTTGCTAAGGTTTAATATGAGAGTTATAGATCCAAACTTGAGGGGTGCTCAAGCATTTAACCCGAAATTTATTTGTATGTACTTATTTTATTTAATACCATATTACAAGAAAAACTGTTTTTTACTACAGTTTTAAAATAACAATGATAAAAAACTCTTTCTATCACGATTGATGAAAAGCCATAGTAGTAATTATATTCTACCATGGGTAAGCACCGTGGTATAGGGCCGGCCCTAGCCAAGGTAACCAGGCGGTCGCCTTGGGTCTCAAATTTTTAGGCCAAAGGGGATGGAAAAAAAAAAAAACAAAAAATTAAGTTAGGACACGTCTGTGTTGGGCCTCAAATTTTAGAGGCGTCCAAATTTGAGGCCTATAGGGGATGGGGAAAAAAATAAAGTTAGGTCAAGTTTCAGACGACACAATCCGCTTCGACACTCCGCAGTGCGCAGCCTCCGCTATCGCCTCAGGTGACAAGGTACGTTCATCATCCTCTCTCCTCTCTCCTCTCTCCTCTCTCCTTTTGCATGAATCGATCTTTTATATATGATTCTTTCTTTCGTTCATCTTATCATTTGATTTGTTCTAACTTTGGTTCGTTTGATTCGGGCCTTTACCTTTGTTCCAATAGTGAAAAGTAGCTTCCAAACTAGGGTTTTTTTTTTTTTTTTTTTTTTGTGTGTGTCACTGTGTGATGGCTATCAAAAGCTGAATGAATATATTATGGCTCTCTTAGTATTTTAATAAATGTGTGCCTTTCTACATGTGTCTTTCATGGCGATCGAGTCCATAATCTATGGCAGGTACCTTTTTTTTTCGTCTCCCTAATTCCACTTCAATCTCACAACAGCAGCAACCCCCTTTTCCTCATAATTTTTTGCATTTTCACGTTCAAGCCTACGAAAATTAAGGATCCCTTCTAGTGGGTTGAGCCTTTGAGGTAATAATTAACTTTTTCGATCTCTAAATTATGCTCATACTTAAAAGTGCCAAATTAAGGTTTTTTGTTTTATTTTTTTTTATTTTTTTTATTTTATATGAAGATACATACCACCATTATTGATGTTATTTGAAGTTGGCTCAGCTAGAATTTTAGTTAATAATACTGTCAAAACACTTGCCGTCAGAATGTACAAGCACATGGAAATCAAGAGCAGGCTTTAACAAAACAAAAGTTAACGGTTTTTCTATTAATTTGCACAGGTCTTCTGTAGCAATGATCAACCAATCACTGCTACTAAAGTTGATTCCTCATCCTGAAATCAAGAAAGGGGTAACTGGCTCCCAAAAAAAAAAAAAACATAGTTAATATAAAGAGTGAAAGACAAAACTATATATGATAGTGGATGCCACATATAACTTAAAGTCCCACTACTTCTTCAGTACTACAAGTTCAGCCTCCTATAATATATATAGTCACCTCATCTCCACATATTTTTGTCATCTGTAATCGTTAAATTTTAGTAGCTATATAAACAATGAATGTAGAAGCTACAGTTTCTGTCCTCTAGTAAACTGTTCTCTTCATTTTTTATTTTGTGCTTGTGAAAAGTTCGCACTCTTTAATTGATTGATTTATTGTTATTAGTTGGCCCAATGGTATAATCTCCTCATCTTCAAAAAAGAGGGGAGGAGTTCGAGTCCCGGCGTGGGCAAAATGTGTGTGTGTTTGCTTTACCATTCAAAAAAAAAATAAAAAAGTTAGCTGTCTTATGCACACTGCACATGCACACAATTATTTATTGGTGATGATAGATTTATAGTTATTAGTTAGTTGTCTTATCAAACTGCACAGGCGAACAATTATTTATTGGTAGTGATAAAAATTTATAGTGATTAGTTAGTTGTCTTAAGCACACTGCACAGGTGCACAATTATTTATTAGTGGTGATAGATTTATAGTTATTAGTTAGTTGTCTTATGCATACTGTACAGGCGCACAATTATTTGTCGGTGGTGATAAATTTGTAGTTATTAGTTAGTTGTCTTATGCACAATAGGCGCACAATTATATTAGCTATAGAATTTGAAAACATCGTGTGAAAATTTCGAACTCTTATAATTTTTTTTTGCACGTGTGAAACTTAAGGGCCTCACATTTAAAAGTACGCTTAGGGCCTCTCAAAATATTTGGAATCTTAGTGCCGGCCCTGCCATGGTAAAAAGTGAATTATTTTCCGTCATATTTAGGCGGGTATTATTCCCACTAGTTTCATTTTTTTAAATAAAAAAAAAAAAAATTATATACAAAAACATATATACTCACACAGAAACCACACACAACATATCTACACTATCTATAGGCGCGGCTCAATCGACTGAAAAGTTTCCCTTTCCGGCCATCAAAACCAGTGAACGGTGACGACGCCGCTTTCTTTCTTCACGCCGGCCACTTTCTTTCTTCCTCCAAATCCCCTTTCTCTCTGATTTGAAAGGGCTTGAAGCAATGTTTGTGTAACAGATCCAAGCCCTAACCCACCCTCCCTCTCTCATTCGAAGCCCCCATTATCCAAGCCCTAACCCCCTTCCTCCCATTCGAAGCCCTAATTTATATCGTGTCTGCATCGAAATTGGAGGTTTCTATTCTTTGCTACTATCAAAATTGGAGGTTTCTGTTCTTCGATACATTATCAAAATTGGAGTTTAATTTCTGTTCTTCTCTACTATATTGTCCATATTCTTTCTTCTTGATTCTTTTTTTACAGACACTCGCACACGCTGACACACACTCGCACACACACATGTGTATATTTATGCGGGTAAATATATTGAACTGAAAGTTTCGTTACAGTGAAGTATTCAATTCCATCCACCCCCCCCCCCTCTTTTGTTACACACTTTAATTGCTGAAAAAATAAGAATAATAATAAATCATATTTCCCCTGGTCCATTTATTATAATTTGATGGCACCATCTAGTTTACTTTACTAGTCTTAGTTACACTAAACAAATATACGTACTTCCTAGACCCTTTAAAATTTCTAGAATTCATATTCTTGGATCAGTCAAGCGATTTTGGTAACTGATTTTGGTTTAGAACGTATAGAGTTCTTGCTTTAATTTTATTGGAAGTAAACTTATATTAATTAAAGAGATAAGACTAAATATCATCTCAAATTACAGAAACAGGAAGCGATAGATGAAGGGACAGAATGACAAATCATTGCATTCGGTCTCAGAGGAGCTGAATGGAGATTGTGGGATGGCTGAGATGTCAGGTGATTTTGTTATTGCTTAGTATCATACTTTATTGTTTTGACTTTAATTTGCGTGTTTCTATTTGTCCTAGTTGATACTCCCCCCACCCCCGTAGTGACTTGTTTGCTCCCAAGAGGAGTTGAACCTTATCTGCATGTTTCTAAGTTGTTTTCAGTTTGGTTTGGTATGTACATAACTGATTTGGTATATGTTTGTTGTAAGAATAAGATGATTGAATTTAAACCTGTTAGGTGGTCAGGTCGTATATGTTTGTATATTGAACAATTGGGGGAAGAGTTCAATTTGGTTCTGATACATATAAATATATGCACCCTTGACGAATTTTGTATGCACATATACGTTTGAGGTCTTTGCATGTGTGTTTGTGGTGGTATGTTGTCCATTTCAGTTTTTAGACGTGTCTTAAATGGATCCTTTCATATGGTAGTATTGAGTGGTTCTTTCAGGATCTGAAAGTTTTGTAATAATGTTGTTAATTTTTTGCATAGGTTTATTCATCCCCCTGTATATGGTTAGTATCCTAGAACAATGCAAGAAATTGTTGGAGGTAGACTGCCCAAGTTCACAGAAGAAGAGGTATCAACCAACGTACTTATATAGAGAATCCAAAAAATCAAACCAAACCAAAAGAGCTGGGCTACTGACAGGACTGGAATACTGGATTTGTTTGCAAGAAATTGTCCTATTGGCATGGGCCGAAAAACTAATTCTAAACAAATTGCGCTGGAATGGGAAAAAATAAAGAAACCAATTCTTGAGAGAGTTAGTTGTGCCATTCAGCCAGAGGGTCAATCACAGAAGCAGCTGTCTAGTGTGTCTGATTTCATGAGTAGTTATGCGAATAGATTCACTGGGTTTGTAGATGATTGGAAAGCACACTTGCCACGTATAAAAGTTTTGATGGAAAGGGGGTTAGAAAGTAACACGGGCTCTGAGATGGTGAAGCATTTTATTACTGATAGGACTAAGGATTTAAAGGCTCTTTAGAAGGAGGAAAGAGATGAAGAAACAAGGATGCTTATTTTTTGTAGCACGAAATGGGAAAAAATAATGCCTGACATTGCAAGTCGAGTTGATAGTTATATGGTATCTGTGTTCACAACTAGATATATTAGAAGAATGATGGCGATTGCTGACGAATTTGGGCAGTACCTGCCACAGATAATTGAATTGATGGAAATGGAGAAGAATCTAAAAAGTGGCGATAATTGAATTGATGGAAATGGAGAAGAATCTAAAAAGTGGCGAGGGAAAGAGGTTCAAGGATGATGAGATAATTGAATTTCCATAGAGGAAAAGCAAAGGAGGAAGGGAGGATCCATGATTTGCCACCAATAGTTGAATGTACAGAAAGCGAGAAGAATATAAAAAGTGGCAAGGGGGAGGGGGAGGGGGAGGAAGAGTCACCTTTCGAGGAGCCCCGGGGAGAGAAAAGTGGGGAGGGAGAGAACCCAGGATGATGAGATAATTGAATTTCCCGAAAGGTGCAAACTGAAAAGAATCACAAGACTGGCAAGGGGGAGGAATGAGTCACTTTAAGGAGTCCAAGGAGGAAGGGAGGATCCATGATTCATCACCAATGGTTGAATGTAAAGAAAAGGAGAACAATATAAAAAGTGGCGAGGGGGAGGAAGAGTCACATTCCGAGGAGCCCCTAGGGGAGGTAAGTTTGTTTGTTTGTTTTACTTATTTATTTATTTATTTTATTTGTTCTAGTAATGTAAAGGTCCTCTTGAGACCAGTTGTGTGCTTTAATCACTTCACAGAATAGTTGTTATATATATATATATATATATATATATATATAAATCTGTACAGAGACTATATAGGATTATATCTCTAAAGACTTGTAAATTTGAGGTGCTTAATCAATCACCAGACTTCTTGTATTGTCATTACCCTCAAGAATGTGTGGTGGTATTATGTTGGCGTTGAGCTGACAAGCATTAAACTATAGAAAATATCCCTATGATCTAAGTTACCTTTTTTTTTTTCCTTTTTTCTTTTTTGATAAGTAAACAGAAACTATCATTAAAACGCTCAAATGGGGAGCGAACCCGGTACAAGCGAAGCAAAGGACACCATAGGCGCGACTACAACTTCAAGTTGTCAACAAATCAAAAAGGTTATCCGTAGATGAACAACTTTTCCTAATGACCCAAAAGAAGAGAGAATGCAAAATATTCAATTTAATAGCCCAAACAGGAGACTCCTCGCCTTCGAAGGATCTCCTATTCCTCTCACACCACAGCCCCCACCATAAACAAAGAGGAGTTACCCTCCAAGCTTCTCTAACTAGGCTGTGCCGCCCTCTCCAAGCCTCTAGCATCTCCATCGTGGTCCTTGAAGCAACCCAATCCACCCCAAAAACAATCAGGAACATGGACCAAACATCCGATGCCACTGGGCATTGCAACAAAAGATGGTTTACTGATTCATCCGTCTTCTTGCATATACAACACCAGTTAACTGGTATTTGGTGTCTTCTTCTAAGATTATCCAGAGTAAGAATGCTGCTAAGTGCTGCTGTTCACGTGAAAAAAGCCACCTTCAATGGTGCTGTAGTCCTCCAAATAGCCTTCCAGGGAAAAACATTGCTCAACAACTCCGTAAGGCTTCGATAAAACGACCTCACCTCGAACACCCCTCTGGGACCTCCCATCCACACCATCTCATCCCTGCCTTCCCCCTCCACCACTTGCCTATAAATTAATACCATTAAATCTGTAATTTCCAGAAGCTCCCAATCATTGAAGTTTCTACGGAATCTCACATCCCAACTTACTCTCCTATTATCAAGCCGATAATAGTCTGCAACCATAGCTTGCTTATCCACGACAATCCTAAAAAGGCGAGGAAACCAACGAGCCAACACAACATCCCTGCACCACAAATCCTTCCAAAACCTAACATGACGACCATTCCCAACACTAAACCGTATCCACTTGGAGACCTCATGTCCCCTCCGAATACCTTTCCATGAACCCATGCCTGCTGGTGATGTCACATCTCTAGTCTTCCAACCTCCCTACTCTTCCCCAAAACGACATGCAATAACACGCCTCCAAAGCACAGACCTCTCACACCCAAATCTCCACTGCCACTTACCCAACAAAGCTTTATTAAGTATTTGGCAACATAGAGTGATTGTTGCCCAAGAATTGCATAGCTTATTTGATACAATTAAGCTATGCAAATCAACTTTGGAAAATTCCTTGATATTGACGTTTAATTCTTTTATGTGATGGCGAGTCATTATTAGCTTTTCAAAATAGAGTGATTGTTGCCCAAGAGGAGGTGTGATCCTGTTGAGTACTTCCTATTTTCCTTTCAGAATTCTTGCAGTTATAAGTAATATCAACCTTATCTGTTATTAGATGAAAAAGTTAACTTTGACTGGAAACAACTTAGAAACTTTAAAGCTTTATGATTTCTTTTTCCTTGTGGTGGCTGCTTTATGGTCTTTCTTCAAAAGGTCAGTTGTGCTGATTCCTTGGCTGGGGATGCAAAAGTCCGCGGAATCAGTGGTGGTGATAAGAAACGTCTATTGATGGCATGTGAGCTTATTGCTAGCCCATCCGCCATTTTTGCTGATGAGCCTACTACTGGTATGAATGCTTTCTATTTCTATGGTTTGCCTAAATGTCTCTTTGTTTTCTATTAGGAAAGGTGATGAAACACTCCACATATGCACGTTTTATTTTTATTTTTATTTATATATATATATTTTCCCTTTCTCAAATTGCCGATAACAACTCTTGAGCATCTTGGTAATCATGACTGGTTAACTTTAGCTGGGATATATTTAATTAGGTACAATCGAGAGACTCATAGGATTTTGAGTTTAAAGATAATTCTTAGGCACCGATGAGAGAATCATTTGGGTGGTTATATTTGGTGAGCATTTGAGATAAAGAGAATGTTTTGGAGTTGTAACAGTGTAGAGGTTGAACTGCAGAAAAAAATAGATTAATACTTGTTGATTGTTTATCCCATTATGTTTTTTCAACACACCATAATCATAATAATGTCTTAATAATGTAAGAGACCACACCGGAGAATAAACTTGGTCTGCTTAATATACAGTAATAGATTTTATCTTCCAGTCAATCTGGCTCATATAATTTGTTGTTTCAGTAGATTTAGAATCTTATATCTATGGTCCAAATGAAATAATTTATGCTCCATTGTTATGTTCTGCATACTTGTTCAGTCAGTAAACTATTAATTGCATAGTCTTACTAACGAAAACAAGCTTGGGAAAGCCAAAAATTGTCAAACTTGAATATGCCATTTTACCTTGATTAAGCACTAGTCTTGAAAAGATGAGATTAAAACTCTCAGCTTTACTCGGCTTAATTTTCGCAACTACTTTTCAATGTCCAACATTAGGCTACTTGTGATGGAGGGTGTGGAAGGAATAAATTGACCTAATTCTATAACATGTAGTTGTTTATTAAATGAATATATAGCATATAAGACAAACATATAATTTTGATTCATTTTCATAGCTTTTATGTTAATCATTGCATAATGTGGAAAATGCAACTTGAGAAATATTTTTACATAATTATGTATATATACTACTAATCCTCTCTTATGATACATATACCATCTTATTTTCTTTCTTCTTTTCCAATTTTTTGTTAGAGCAAGGTGGATATTTTGGACCGTATTTTTCCTATTTACGAGAGTATGGAACATAGCTCTGTTCAAGTATTGATTAATGGCTGCAAAAGTGTTGTCAAGTATATGAAACTATATAATATATTTACATTATGAGCACAACCAAGAAGTGTCAGACATGTAATTATTTGTGTCCAGGACATATGCTGATGGCTGACATATGGCTCCTTTGTAGAAGTGTCATCGTGACTTAGATGTCGAGTCTCCGACTATGTAAATCAAACCAAAGTGTTGCCAAGTGTTTGAGAGCTTTCTTTGCCCAACCTTCCACTGAAGGATTTTATGTCATTTTATGTGCTTTTAATCGAAGAGGCTTCAAGAGTTAATTTTGAAACATCATCTTGGTCTTTATAGGGTGAAATAAGATCATGAAATTTCAATGTTTCTTTGAAGCATATTTTATTTTTATTTTTCGTATGTTATCCTTTAAAATTTGAAATCTTTCCTCTTTCTAGTTATCAAAACGATTTATGAGCTTCAGCTATTCCCAGTGATTTCATTTCATTATGCTCACTCATCATTGAATTATTCATAACTTCTGTAGTAGTTCGTGATAATTGTACCATTTGGGCTTGGTATAACTGAAGCAGTAAATATAAGGAGAGAAAACTGTGCGGGGAGGACCAACAGCCTAGACTCTGTTACGTCATAGTATACACAGTTCTATTCAGACCTAGAGGGGAGTATAAGTCTTAGGGATTTTAATATTCCAAGTTTTAATCTTCAATTATAATTTTTTAATTCCTAATTAAATTTAAATCACGTCTCAATGATCAAACCAATAAAAAATATGTAAGCATTCGAAAACACAAGGCATTATCACAAAGTAAAAGAGAGACTAAATTTTACATGGAAAACCCTAGAAAGGGGGAAACAAATAGGACCTTCAGTCCGGGCAGAAACAATCTTCTATTGAGAAAAAAATGTTTAAAGCCCTAGGTATCAAAGTATCAAACTCTATCCTCTAAAGTTAGCCTATTTACCTTCGATTGAGAGTTGAGACTCACACGCGTCGTTCTCCATCAAACACGTATGTTGTCAATCACAAACTTGTTTTTTTTAAATGTTCGCTCTCCTTGGTTGTTCATTTGCTCCTTGATCTTCTTTAAATCTGGTTGTTTGATGGTTGATAATCTTCATTTGACTTCATGCTTTGATTTACTTAATCACATATGGAATTTCTTGGTGTGCTATGTAAAACCCTGAATTGCATATCAAAGCTCTATTCTCTCTCTTTGTGCCTCTCAATCTCATAAGAACATTATAACCATGTATCTTTAGTCAATAGAGGAATCCTAAATAAAATTGGAAAGTAGTATCAGTCAGTTTTATGAAATTCGGAATAGTCAAAAACTTTTTGCTGGATTGATTGGGCTTCAGGTTTGATTGTTCGAGGTACTCTAGTAGCCTTCACTTGATAGATTTTATCGATTGTTATCAATCGTTCGATTCAATCTGCTTTGATTTCAAGGGTCAGTCGGGCTCTCAATCATTCCTTACTTCTTTAATTTTCAAAAATTTGCCAATAGTTGGATTAATCCACATTACGGTTCAATCAATCAGAGTCCCTGCTTCAAAAATATTTTGATTATTGTAATTTAAATATATTTTAGGCCCAAGTCTAGGTCATGGTGGTCCTTCTATCTCATAAATAATCTGACCTAGATCCCTATGTTCGTTAAGGTCTTATCTCACCTTTACCTAATTATGTGATTGAGGTTGATGAATTTCTCCATTGTCTTTGATGTCACTTCATATTCATTATCTTCAGTGATAGACATATAGACATACTAATGGACATTTTGTTCTACTAAAACCTTGTTTTGTATAGGAACTTTCAAATTCATGACTATATCTGCAGAAATTTTCGTCTCTTTTCTTTTCCCAATTCTTTGTTGATTTAGTAATTAGATAACTTATTATATGCTTTCAGGACTTGATGCCTTCCAGGCAGAGAAGGTAATGGAACCACTCTGACAACTTGCACAGGATGAACATACTGTAATTTGCTCCATACATCAGCCTAGAGGTTCAGTGTATAGTAAATTCGACGACATTGTGTTGCTAACAGATGGCGCACTTGTTATGGCTGCACTGTGTATAACTGAGTGCTATGTTTAGTTTTTAATTATTCACAATGTAGGAGTAATTTCTAACTGCTATTTCAGAAAGACTAACAGATTAATGCTTGCTCAACAGGTATCGTTGCCCAGATCATGTGAATCCTGCTGAATTTTTGGCTGACATAATATCCATAGACTATGATTCTGCCGAAAGTGTCTACTCTTCCCAGAAAAGGATAGATGGTCTTGTTGAGTCGTTCTCACAACAAACATCATCAATTCTATATGCAACTTCTCTTACTAGAAGGGAGTCCTTTAAGAAGAGCATGAACTTGAAAAAGAAAACTACTTTCAAAAGGAAAGGAGGATGGTGGAGGCAGTTCTGGTTACTTCTTAAACGTGTGTGGATGCAGGTAGTTCTTTCTAAAGTCATTCAATTCTTAGGGTTACTATACTGTTTATGTATAAAAATAAATTGACAATATATATATATATATATATATATATATATATACACACACACACATATATATATATATCCGGAAAAGACATAATTTTAGTCCTTCACTTTGCTCCATCTATAATTGCGGTTAATTTTACTATACTGTATGTTTGTTATGACTTAAGTCACTTGACAATGAGGAAACAACCAGAAAGATGCATATAGCTAGTACAGTGGATTCATATAGTACAGTAGGTTGTTATGTGACATGCTGTAGAGAAGCTCTCGTTTTCAATCTACTTCTGTAATTTTATTGCATAGAAATTGTTATTTACATGGTCAGTATTTCAATGTCTTGTCCTATTTAATTGAAGACCTGTGAATGGATGGAATGACTAGGCTTCTCGCGATGGACCAACAAACAAAGTTCGGGGAAGAATGTCAATTGCATTGGCAATAAAATTTGGTTCAGTTTTTTGGAGAATGGGAAGATCTCAGACTTCAATACAGGACAGAATGGGATTGCTCCAGGTACAAAATATTGATGATTAACTCGAAATTCTTTCATATAGTTATGATTGATTTGCGAAATATTCATTGCAGTATACAACTCTAGTTGTTTTAAGCTATGATACCCCTAAGGAGGAACAGTTGGCTTCTCTTCAATTTTGATTCTGTCCATTTCCATCACGCACTGTTTATTTTAATTGCCTCCTTTAGCATACGTTGGCTCCACATGAATTTATGGTTAATAATTGCTATAAAATAATTGGACGGAATTGAAATTGAAGAGGACCTAAGCCTGGAACACCCTCTTTATGAATAGCTCTTCTTTCACTTTTTTTTGCCCCTTTAATGAGAAAATTATGGGAATGATGAAGTTCAAAGTGGTGAAACATCATAGTAATTGTGGGATCTTTTTTTTTTTTTTTTTCGCATATTTATTTGTCCTCATTGAGGGATGAACCTCCGAGGTTGTCAATGAAACCGTTACTTGAGATTGGTACGTTTGTGTTTTAAAAAAATACACTGCAACCCCTAATAGAAGCTGTCGGCTAACGCTGTTAACCTAAACTTTGAAGTTACAGTTATACCCTTATTCTTCTAATGTTACTTTCTTAAAATGTGAAAAGACTTCAAAGCGAATGAATGAAGTCCATATTTTCTTTGGAGCACCATTTTAAAACCCTAAAGATGCACACACACACACATATAAAGATGTATATACATATACACCCATATAGAAGCTGTCGGCTAACACTGTTAACGGAAACTTTGAAGTTACGGTCATACCCTTATTCTCCTAGTGTTACTTTCTTAAATAGCATTGACAAGTCAATGAAATGTGAAAAGACTTAAAAGCCCATGAATGAAGTCCATATTTTCTTTGGAGTACCATTTTAAAACCCTAAAGATGCACACACACACACACACACACACATAAAGATGCATATACATATACACCTATATATACACAAATACAACTATAATATAGTATTATAATCCGCATATATTTATTTAAATACACTGCTTTAACTAGAATTAATGCTAATTACAACTAACTAACACCTCTTATTTAATCTCATTCTTCGACCCATCAGCTCATTCACCAAGTTTCAAATATATACATATATCTACGTATATTGTATATATAGAACCCAAACCACAGACCAACAAGCTTTAGGTCTGCTTCTGATTCTTTCGGATACATACCAAACTCGCCACGCATTTTCGAACTCACCTTTCCAGTGGCTGACATTGATTCAACACCAATTGACATGTCTTTGGTCCCTTTAATATCCACCACAGATGTTGTGGTAAATGCCATTAACAAACGATACGAAGGGTTGGTCAAGGTTTGAACCAAGGCCATCAAAGGCAAAGGAGCTTGGTATTGGGCACATCTTGAACCCATTTTCGTGGTAGGCCCAATTCCAAGTATGACGAAGCAAAAAATTGAGCCAGAAGCTAGAATTAGGGAATTTTTTTCTTTCAAGTTACTTCTTATGGGTTGAAGAGCAAGAACATAGAAAGTGGGGAAGATAATTTAACTAAGTGGAAGCTAAACTAGAATATACTCTTTTTTTTCTTTCTATAACTTTATTTATTATATACTAAAATATGTATTAGATATTTAATTCATATATTAATTATATATTCTTAATATATGTTAGATGTAAATATATGTATACACGCAATTTGTGTATATACAGATAAATCTTGAATTAATCGATCCATTAATAACCCAAACTTCTGTGGAGTAGTCAGAGAAACAAGGGTAGAATGGTCTTTAATCTGAAGGCAAAATTGTCCATATAATGAAATGTTTAAGGTGTACATTGTCCTTTTACTTGTTTAAAGGAAAAAATCGGCATTTCAAATTGTTTAGATAATCCTTTTGTAACGGGCAACCCATTTGACCACAATGGCTGGGGTCTCAATGTTACCTAAACATAAACATTAAGGGTACCATGCACAATTTTTGAAAATACAAGGGTGCCATGTGTAATTTAAGCTTTCATGAATGGGTAAGTGTAATTTTCCCTATTTTATATTTCATATGCTCCTTAATTGTTCAAAATGTATCCATTTTAACAATAATTTTGCATGGTAGCAGTGAGGAAATCCATTTCATAACAAGTACCTGGTCTTGAGCACTCTCAAAGTGTAAATCGTTGGCATCAAAACTGGATTACCTACTGTATCTCGTGCCATTCAACCATCAGTTTTGTATGTTCTTGCGCATGGTTTATATTGTCCTTCTCTCTTAATGTGCATGCATGTTTGGCATTTTCTTATTTATTATTATTTATTTCATTTTTTTCGTTTATTTATTTATTTATTTTTTTGTGGGCCGAGCTTTTTCTCTATCTTATGTACCAAAAATAACTGCAATTCAGCCAGTTAATACGAGTAGTTTACTAGAATTTGGTGGATACACTTAGTTTTTAATTGATATGGTTCATTCAAGTAGTTTACTAGAACTTCAAATCTAGTCGATGGTATTCATGTTACTGGATATTGTTCTTTAAGTTCGTTTATGGAATTACTAGGGAATTTTCATCCCCTTCTGAAGTCCTCATATGCAGTTTTCCACTCTTCTCCTGTGGCTAGTCTGTGAAATGTCCCTTGCTGAACTTTTATCCTTGTCTTATCAAAAATAAGAAAAATATTTCTGTCAATAAATTGGAAGCTATGATATTCAAGTTCCAATTTGATTGAGTTTACATATTCAAGTAAAACAATATTTGGTTGTTTATCTGGGTTTCTTTTTCTTTCTTTTCATTTTTCTCTCTCAGGTTGCTGCTATAAACACAGCAATGGCTGCACTCACAAAGACAGTGGGTGTGTTTCCCAAGGAACGTGCAATTGTAGGTAGAGAGCGTGCTAAAGGGTCTTATACGTTAGGACCGTATCTGCTGTCCAAGCTGATAGCTGAGATCCCTGTTGGAGCAGCATTTCCATTATTATTTGGCACTGTTTTGTACCCCATGGCTCGTCTCCATCCTACTTTGTCCAGGTGATTTTTCTGCGAATTTTAACATTACGAGGTTCATATTGTGATACTAAATGCAGCTGTGAATGCTACTTTATATCATCCTCAACTCCGAATGATATTTTCTTGAGCTTTCAATATTTTTTGCTTTGTGCATGTTTGCCAGTAAATGTTTAAGCTAATACATATAAGCAATTTAAACAGTTAGGTATGGGATGGTTTATCAATTGCAACATTTGATGGAACTGACTCTGAACTTTGACTTTTTAGATTTGGAAAGTTCTGTGGAATTGTGAAAGTGGAGTCCATTGCTGCATCTGCAATGGGCCTAACTGTTGGGGCGATGGTTCCAACCACCGAAGCAGCAATGGCAGTTTTCATTGTATTTGGAGGCTATTATGTTAATGCAGACAATACACCTATAATCTTTCGATGGATTCCTCGTGCTTCACTTATAAGATGGTAAATTTATTCTTAATTACCAGTGAGAGAAATCTCATCGAATTGATACAAAATGACTGGTTGATATTTTCTTTCTTTCCCGACCATTGATATCTCTAATATTTCTTGGGGTACTTTCAGGGCATTTCAAGGGCTTTGCATCAATGAATTTACTGGTCTTCATTTTGATCATCAGCATTCATTTGATACACAATCTGGAGAACGGGTAAGGGAATAAATTTAAACACTATTTGATTATTTTATATGAAGATCTCAAAAGGGATGGCTGTAATGGGATCAGACCTGAATCTGAGTGGACAAAACTAATTTTTGATCGTAATTACTGGATTATGGTTCAGGCCATAGGGCTGGTATATGTGGAGCTTCAGGCTTGTTGAGCATGAGATCTTAGGATTTTGGAAGTTGCTGTTTTACTTATAAAAAAAATTATATTATTTGATATGCTTTGAACTTTTTGTTTCAAGATTATTCTTCTGCTAATATGTCATTATGTGGGTAAAGATAAGAAAGACAAGCCTTCGTGAGCAGATCTTGCTTAAGGCAGCTGCAAGATCTGCAAAAAGTAGTTTTTGTCATCCACACCGTGTGGTTATCCAAAATGATAAAGCTCTCATGTCGAGAATCTCAAGCTTCATATGCATGATGAATGTCTTGCACCGAAATTTAGAACTTCATGAGTCATCGTGATGGACTGACCTCCTGTAGAGATGCGATAACTGCTTGTTGCTGACCTTGTAGCTTATGCTTTTGAGAGGTCCTTGTAGAGCCTTGTTCTTTCTTGCCCTTCTAGTTATACCACCATTATATATATGGTTTACATTTCATTGAAATGGTTTCTCATAAGATTGAGTTGAGTCGATGTTGGGGCATTAATTTAAATTGCAGATCTTGAACACAGCTGCTATACCAAAATTATAGATGCCTCACTACACATGCCTCAACGCTGATTTATTGTTTGTTTATATAAATGTGGTGGGACAAAAGGTTCCAAATTGACTGATGAAAGAACTGAGCTATTTTGATTTTCTTTTTTTCCTTTTGATTTCTGCAGGCACTTGACTGCCTTTCCTTTGGAGGCAGTCGCATTAGAGATACAGTTATGGCTCAAAGTAGAATACTGTTGTTTTGGTACTGCACCACTTGTCTTCTCCTCGATAAAAACAAGCCCCAATACCAGCGCCTTGAGCAGCCGCTTCTTAACCAAATCCAAACAGAGCCAAAGCTTGAGCCTTCTAAGAGTGACCAGGAGGAGGAACCATACGAGCAACTTGAACCTCCTCTGCTTGACCAAGGTAAACCAACCGAGAAGCTTGAATCTCTACCCATTGACCAAATGAACCTCTATAACCTAGAAGGTTTGTAAATTAATTTGGCATTGATGATGTTGACATGAGATGTGCTCCTATTTGATGCTTTATCTCATACAGGTGCTATGTAAAGAAGATGCCTATGCAATAAAGGAAGGGGCCTCGTGCCTTTTCTGAGTTAATGAGCTGTTGAGAGGTCCTTGTAGAGCCTTGTTCTTTCTTGCCCTTCTAGTTATACCACCATTATATATATGGTTTACATTTCATTGAAATGGTTTCTCATAAGATTGAGTTGAGTCGATGTTGGGGCATTAATTTAAATTGCAGATCTTGAACACAGCTGCTATACCAAAATTATAGATGCCTCACTACACATGCCTCAACGCTGATTTATTGTTTGTTTATATAAATGTGGTGGGACAAAAGGTTCCAAATTGACTGATGAAAGAACTGAGCTATTTTGATTTTCTTTTTTTCCTTTTGATTTCTGCAGGCACTTGACTGCCTTTCCTTTGGAGGCAGTCGCATTAGAGATACAGTTATGGCTCAAAGTAGAATACTGTTGTTTTGGTACTGCACCACTTGTCTTCTCCTCGATAAAAACAAGCCCCAATACCAGCGCCTTGAGCAGCCGCTTCTTAACCAAATCCAAACAGAGCCAAAGCTTGAGCCTTCTAAGAGTGACCAGGAGGAGGAACCATACGAGCAACTTGAACCTCCTCTGCTTGACCAAGGTAAACCAACCGAGAAGCTTGAATCTCTACCCATTGACCAAATGAACCTCTATAACCTAGAAGGTTTGTAAATTAATTTGGCATTGATGATGTTGACATGAGATGTGCTCCTATTTGATGCTTTATCTCATACGGGTGCTATGTAAAGAAGATGCCTATGCAATAAAGGAAGGGGCCTCGTGCCTTTTCTGAGTTAATGAGCTGTTCTAGTGAAACACTGATGATTTATTGTATCATTACAACTCTTGACTCAGCTAAAAGATTCTTATTATTTGGAGCTGCTTGTAATATGGATGGCTTGCCAGGACAGCACCAAGTTTCAGTAAATTTGATTTAGTTTACAGTTTCAGGATAATCTTGTTTGTTTGTTTTTTTATTTTTTGTTTACTTGTTGGTTTTTTAATTTTTATTTTTTCGTTGTGTTGTTTTGAATGGTTTGTTTCTGTAGTAATGTACTATAATGGTTGTTTAGTTTATTGATACTTGAGAGTCCGTTTGATATGAGGAAAGCGTTGAGGAACAATGACTGAGGATTTTAGATGGAACGCCCATCTAGGAGAAAAGGATGGGTTTAGGAAGAGAGGAAATAAATCATTTTCGCTGGACTCATCATAAACCTTCCTCTCAATGGTCCTTGCTCTGGGGAAAAAAGGAGCCCCAACCCCCCCACCCCCCCCCCCCCCCCCCCCCCCGCGCCCGCCCGCCCGCCCGCGGGAAGATAGAGCAGATGCATTACACTGCCTTTGGTAGGAGGAAGGTTCTTTCATCAGTTTCATTTTTGCTCTTCTAAAATACTTCTTTCAAATCATGGTCAAAAGGTATAATGTCCCTTTCCTTCTTTATTTCCTTCCTACTCAACCAAACAGCATGAAGAAAAGCTCCTATTTTGGGATATATTACATTGACATTGCTTGACGTTAGGTCAAATTTTACATAGATGGACATTTTAGTTTTAACTTTTAATTACATTTGATAGTGTGAATCTAAGTCACACAGAGCGGGAGCCAGAGCGAGAGCGGCATATTCCTAAAAATCTTAGAGTGGGAGCGTCGCTCTAGCGACGCATTATAAATATATAAAATATTAATTTATAATAGTAAATATATATTTTAAATAAATTTCATATAAATAAACCGACAAAATAGTGAATCAAATATGAGTCTATTATAACCAATATAATTTGCTTTATAAAAATGTATAAATTAACAAACATGACAATCAAACAAGAACAATAGGGCATAATAGAAAAAGCAATGTTCAAAAACATTGTCTTTTATACATTTAACCTATTTTAAACTCTCAAGATGACAATCATTATCTTTGAAATAGTAATGTTCAAAAACATATGAAATAGCATAGAGAATATGAAATGATGGAACGAGAATAAGACTATAAGAGTGAATCAAGAGTCAATTACTAGTGAAAGAAATTCAAGAATCACGAACCCAACACTTTATAACCGAAAGAAAATTACGAAATCATAATCAGAATATGAAAAGTTATTAATTTATTTATTTCTTTACTAATAAATAAGTATTATTAAATATTAAGTATATAGTTATATTATTTGATTTTTACTTATAAATGACATAGTTTACTTAATTAAATTAAATTGATTACTTTTTGACATAATTAACCTTATTTGGTCTATTTAAGTTGGGGGTAAAATTAAAATTTTTCAAAATTCACACTAAATTCGTGAATTTATTGTCAAAAGTCGTCGAATTCTTGAACAAAATACGCGATTTTATCTTACATAATTCGTCGAATTGAACTTTAAAAATCAGTGAATTCTTAAATTGAATTCGCGAATTCAAAAACATGAGAGGGTGAATTTTTGATGAATTCACTCTCAAAACTTCAATTCACGCGCGGAGCAATAGTGCGCTAGTGATTTGAGCGAATTATGTGACTTAAATGTAAATCCGTATTTTACTTACACCCAAATGTCACTTTTTAGTGGTGGCAATGTACTTTTGGCTTATTCACCTCAAAAAGGTTGTTTTATATATTTTTTTATGACAAAAAAACCCCAACAGTTCTCACTAGCCATCAGCACCACCCATGCACCCCTATCCCAACACCTCCATGAGGCGAAGAGGTGAGGTGGCGCGTGTGGGGCACGCGTTATGGAGGAAGAAGACGATTGGCACTGCATGAGGCGCGCGTCTACACGCGACTTGCATATCAATAGCGCGTGGATGCTCCAAACTGTGCGTGTGAGAGCGTGAAATCATGTTGCCACCATAGATTGCTACCACTGCTGCCGATCGTTGCCGCTACTGCAGATCGATTCGCTGATGATGAAGTTCTGCCAAACTAAACCCAATCCTCCACCTATTTCTATCAACCTATAACCACCGTCGAAAATCACGTGTCGTCACCAGATGATTCACTGCTATAGATTGATTCAGAGAAGGTGACGACCTCCAAACGCTCCTCACCATCAAACTTGAAGAAGACGATTAACTCGTTCTATTGTTTTTCCCTATTTATTTATTTTCCCCTTTTGTTTCTTGAATTTTAGAGAGTTGGAGATAGAGAGAATAATAAAGAGGGGCACTTTTGTCATTTGGTTTTATAGATATTTTGCATTAATTTGAATTAAAAAAATAGGGGTATACGGGTCAATTCTAATATGTCAGAGCTCAAAAAATAATTAGAAATGCAATTGAAAATTAAAACTAAAATTTCATCCATACGAGATTTGAAATAATATAAAAACAATGTGAGTGTAATTTATCCTACATTTTACATTTTTTTTTTTTTTTTTTTTTTTTTTTTTTCTATCTTCCTTACTTGGCCTTTTACTCCGGGCCAAATTAAACATCAGGTTGGGCTAAGTTCTAATAACCCAAGCCCAACTATAAAGTTTAGAACCTCAATCTAAAATAGGGGCAAGGATTCTCTCCTGCGGTGGAGAGGTCCCACACCAAATCTAATTATTAATTTTGAAATTTTGGGTAAGGCCCACTGGCGAAGAGTGTTTGGATTTGGTGCAGGACCTCTTCAGTGCAGAAGCGAATCCTTGTCCCTAAAATAGCAGTAGCTTTTATTTCCTTTACCTTCACCTATATTTTTAAGTCAACTCGTTAAAAATAATTTAAAAATGGCACAATAAAGTAGGTCTTGTTGAACTCCCCCCACCCCCAAAAAAATATAAAATAAATAATAATAATAATAATGTAGATCCAGCTTAAAATTCGATCCCAAACTCCCTTGATTTTCGATTTCTTTAACACTATTTTATGTATACTAGTACATCTGACTCTCTGACCTCCCAAAGTATCATCCACCTTTTTCTATGATTAATATACTATCAAGTTATAAAAAATAGAAGATACAGAGAACTAGAATAAACAAATCGCCGTCCAAGGAAAAAGTCAAGCCGACCAAAAATGCCACATCCCATGGGAAGAAGAACCTTTCATCAACCCAATTGGGTAAAATACTATCCTACAATGAGGAACACTACTAGTGTGATATTCAACCACAATTTTTTTGCCATTTTGAATTTTAATTCTTTCTACAAAAGATCTTTAAGCTCAGGACGACAATATAGATCATAGAATTATATTTGAGTAATGATGCTTGACATTTTTCTTAAGTCGAATAGTTCGATTTAATTAATTATTAATATCAGAGCATGGTTCGTCATATAAGTTGATTTATAATTTTTTTTTTAAGAGTTTGATATCATTATACATCTTTATAAATCGGTCGATTCGATTAATTTATATCGATATTCGTCTAACTCTATTAAATCGCGAATATGTTGAAGTGTTTCATATTAAAAGTCATTTTTTTTCTGAAACACACAATTCTAGCCTAAGAGGGTCACCACCACGTGTCACTATCAGGATGTGTAACGTGTCCCTTTCTTGAATTTGCTCCAAAATAATATGAACAACGCGCAAAAGTAGGCTGGTGTCTGCTAGCACACGGTTTGAACATACACATGCATAAATAATTGAGTCATCACATGCCACCATCCCTCCACACACACATATTATACACACAGAATAAACATATATTTCTTTCTCTCTGTAGTCTATATATACAGTATCATATTGGATTCACAGATATTTTCAAAACCATTCTAGTTTCTCACATTTATATCCAAAATTAACAATGGCACCAACATTTCTTTGCTCACCTGATCATCTTCTGCTTCTTCCTCCATTTAGGCCACTTTCGGGTACTCGAAAAATGGCTCTCGACCAGCGAAACAGAGCTTGCACAACCATTTACGCATCAAGAAGAGACACCCACGACCAGAATTATTATTGCAATGGTCGCAGTGTGAATGAGAACCTGGTTGTTCTTCGAAAGCGAATCCACGAGATGAAGATGATGGAGAGGAACTACGAGCCGCCCTCGGGTTGGATGGATTGGGAGAAGCATTTCTACACGAGCTACGATGAGATTATATGTCAAGCAATGGGGTTGTTGCAATCCCAGCTGATGAACACTAGGCCAAGCATGGCTCTTGCTATGGTGGCACTAGTCACATTAAGTGTGCCAACTTCAATGTCTTTGTTATTAGTCCATTTGATGGAGATGGTTAATGGGGGTTTAGCTGGGATCCATCTTAGCTAGTTATATGTATATATAGACGCATCATACACAGTTGACGGTGCTACGAGAAAATTATTGTTTTATTTTTTATATATACATATATACATTTGTAATTTGTATAAGAAAGTTGTTTGATATCTTTTGATTTTTTTTTTTTTTTTTGAATAAAATTATGTGTACATACCACAATTATTTACATATTATGTGGTTGATTTTTTTCTCTCCATGAAGTATAATTTCCTCAATGAGGTGCAACGGAAAAGGAAAAAAGCAGTTCCTTGAATTTCTCATTAATTTATAAATGGTTTTTTTTTCTTGAAAAGTGTCCTTAAAAAGTATATATTTAGTGCACCATGAAATTAATTTCTTAGATTGTTTTCCTTGGTAAACTCACAGAATTAATTTGTCCGCATGAGAATGTGAATCTCACCTTTAAAAAATGGGTAAAAGAGATACCGTCAAGATTTTTGTATAGCACACCTTCACCTACCCAGTTATTATATAAAGATTACTTTTACATAACTGACCTACGTCCAAACATTCTCCTATATGTAGGATCATTATGTACTATTTTTTATTAATTCAATTCAATATCATATATTTTAACATGGTACGAGAGCTTGTGTTATAAATCATTTCTTTTCTTTACAGGTTCATTCTTTTTTCATTGGCTTTGGTCCTCTAGCACCACCACTTTCCTAAAGGCGGCATCTTATCACTATTCGTCTCAAGAAACACGTCTTCCAGATACTATTTTGAGTTTCAAATCACATCACTCGAAAGAGCAGACGTGTATTTTTAGATATTGTCGTTGTGATACGCTCCGTAAAAAAATAATTTATTTTCCTACAATCACTTTATTAAAACTGTACAGTGATAAGCAAGGTCGAACCTAAGGGAATGCGTTGATAAAAAACTAATACGAATCCAAGTTAATTTAAATCTTAACACAGTGAAAATTTGGTGGATTTAAAAATGAATTTAAACTAAATAAATAAAAATAATAAAAGATAAAAGATATGGAATTAAATTCACCACAAATCTCATAATAATGCCTAATTATATCTAACATAGGAAAATTCATCGTATGCATAACTATGATATGTAGAGATACATGATAACTACAATATCGTTGATAAGCGCTGAAAAGTGCGCATTTAAAACCCTTAAGCTTGAGTATTGTAGAATCTTATTTTATCTTATTTTTCCGTTTTAGTCTAATTTCATGTTTTTGTCTATTTCAGGTCAATAAGATTAAAACGGGCTAATTTGGGTCCATTAAGGCCTTTTTGGAGTCAAACTAAGTTTTTGTGAGAATTGTAACGACCCGGGTTTTTCAACCCCGGTGCGTCAGTGATGACCCGAAAGTTGACCAGATAATGGACCCAGATGCGGAAGCAAAAGGAACAAGACAATGGTCTCTCGAGGCATAACACACCTCTAAGATCCTAAAATGACCTTCCAAGAGGTCATGGAACCCAAAGGAATAACCGAAAGCGAAAGATAAAATGAAAAGGTCACTTGGTACCCTATGGCACCAATGACAACCAAAGGAGCAAGATCTAGTTCAAACTAGACCATGTACGCCATAAAATGGCTCAAGTAAGATCAACAAGGTCAAGTGGAAGTAAATCAATTAGTACAAGCTTGAAGGAGCAACAACCAAACAAAATCAACAAAACAGTTGAAAGTGGGCTATTTCGGTTGACCGAAGTAGAGTTTTGGTATCGAAACTCACAGAAACATTTCTGAAGTCTAAATTTTAAGGCAAGGCTGGTTCGGTAGACCGACTTGAGCCATCGGTCGACCGAAATGGAGTTTCGGTTGACCGAAACTCCTCGAAGGGTTGCTGGAATTGGCAAAAACATGGTTCAACTAAAACCACAAGAGAATCGGTCGACTGAACCAAGCCATCGGTCGACCGAACTGGGCCAAACATCAAAAATGGCTACTGGAATGGGGGATTTTGATGTTCAAACAATTTGAACCAAGAATTGGTCGACTGAAACAGGCCATTGGTCAATCGAAACAGGTCGAAAATGAGGAAAATGAACCTGCTATGCACCAAAATGAAGAAAAGTCCCTAAGTCTTATTTGAATCCCCCATGGCATGATTAAAATACATTATATGCTATTGTGTGATGATGTGAACATACACGCAAGTGTAAAATAGTGTTTTAAACATGCTACAATGGCTTACGGCTTCATTACATTTCATTTACAAAATTTTGCATGTCAAACCTCCAAAGTTGGAGAAATTACATTTTAAAACAAAATGTAGCGCCAAATGAGTTCAAGTGCAAATATAAGCATGTTTGACCCTTGGCCTCATGTTATACATGTCAAATACATTACAAAAAGTGTATCTATGTACACATTACACATTTAGAACAAAAATACAAGTTTTGACATATAAACTACAAAAAGGCACTTCATGCTAACATCTTCGTAAGAATGATACTCCAAGTCTACGAAACTTCCATGACATAGTATGCATCCCAAATCAAAGTCCTTGTACGTGAAAAATGTCCCCACTACGTGGGTGAGTAACATAAAGCTACTCGTAGGAGATGAGCATGCATCAACCTAGCATTTTACAATTTTATCACCTTAAGGTGAAACATGTTAACGGGGCTCATGCCACCTAACGTCTATGTCAAAGTGAGACTCAGGGATCATCCTAAACTACTCATGCAATTGAAATGAACTTCGGCATACAAGTATACATGCTTAAGTATACTAAATAATGTTAAACATGTTATACAATATACAAACATACATTTCCAAGTATACTAAACCACATTAGGACAAGTCATGCAATGTCTAAGCATATTTACACAAGTATGCATTTTATAAGCAAATCTCGTAAATCAAGTATACCGACACAAGTATACTAAGCTAAGAGAGATACGCCTAAAACAAGTATACACGGCACAAGCATACTAAATGAAATCTAAACTCACAGAGCAAGCATACAAGTTCAAGTACACTAAATGAGATCTAAATACACAAAAGAAGTATACAGTTTCAAGTATACTAAATAAGATCTAAATACACAAAACAAGTATACAGTTTCAAGTATACTAAGTAGGATTCAAATATCCAAAGCAAACATTAATTCTAAAGCTACAAGTAATCCATGATTAACAACTTGAAATTAAATGCGAAATCAAATAGTGGAAAGAATAGGATCCTTGGCTACAAACCAATAGAGCTGTTCTGGGTTACTAGCCCGCAAGGTACTACCTAGTGCGCACGTGTATAAGTTATTCCGGGTAATTACGACCCACAAGGTACTACCTACTGCGTACTTCATATGACTTAGAAAACTCATAAATCCATACTAGGACCAAACCCTAGCCATCACATGAACATGATCCTTACAAGCTTCCAAAAACAATAAGTTCAAAACTTATGCAAAATCAATAAGTTAAACCAAACTTATACATTTCAAATAATGTCTAGGAATCAATTTACATGCACAAGTAAGGTTGAATCCACACAAACCATGTCCTAGAGTTCAAGTCTAAATAGCATATGACATGTCATGTTCTCAATATGCAATTTACATACAAGGCAAGAATATTTTAGAATAATTGGACCACGTTACCATCCTAAGCCACAAGTACTAAATAAGTTCCAATTTGGCAACAAGCTTTTAAGGTAAACAATTGTAATATTCTAACAAGCTATATACCTACCCAAGATATATTTACACAAGCAATGCAAGACAATGATATTACATATCATGCTACGTCAAATTACTATCTTTAGAGACCACAAGTACTAATTCTACAATAAGTTAGTAGCATGCTCACAAGGTAATTAAACATACTACATTTCAAGATATTTTCAACCTAACATGGAAAGTCTTTAGATTTCAATTCAATTCCAATTAAGCTCAAATTAATACATGTGAAAGGACATAGCACAGTCTTAACATATATTGCCTCCAACATCAATTCAAGTGACTAAAACATTTAAAGTAAAATTAATTAAGCTAATTAATTAATTTTCTCTAGATTTTCAAACATATCCAAATGTCCTCAATTTAATATATGTTGAAGAACTCACCAAGGCCTACTTTAATATCACATTACAAGTTGATTTCATGCTTATTTCAACTATGTGAATTAATTTTTTACAAAGATAAATATTAAATAAGTTTTGCAATTCTTATTCAAATGCCCCAAATTTAATATATGTTACACAACTCACCAAGGCCTAATTTACTAGCATGCCACAATTTAATTTTAAACTACATACCATCATTAGAATTAAATCCTAAACAAAGAAAATAAATAAATTAAATTCTAAAAAATTGAATAAGGCATGCTCACAAGTTGTATATGCTTATAGAACAATCAATACAACAATATCATAAACCTAAGACATCCCCTACCTTAATTTGAGATGAAAATCTCAAAAGCCCATCGAAAAAAAAGTGCTCCGAATCCGATGATACCGAAGGGTTTTGTCGGGGACAACACGATCTACATGAACCCCCAAAGAAGCCCCATCAAAATCAGAACTTGACTTCAAACTCGAACACAAGAAATGGTTAGAAATGAATTCTAATAAGGGGGAAAGGTAGAGCACGTCGAGGGGAACGATAAACGTTAAGGCCGAAGAGTTTCCACTAAGGAAATCAAGTGGAGGAGAAGAAAGAATAAAGGCAGCCCCTTGGGCTCCCATGGCTGCAGGCCAAGAGGGTGAAGAAGATGATGGAAATCTGACTTTTTGACTTAAGACCCCCTATTTATAGAAAATCTCAAAAAGTGCCCCGAAAGGGTCCCGCCGGGTCAGGAAAAGTGGATTTTGAGCAAACGCGCTCAAATGACAAAACTCTGTGAATGAAAAAGATTTTAAATAAAAAAAATATGAACAACGGAAGAAACGGTGTCAAAAACTGAGTCCCGAGCAGAGAGATATGTCCCAAACAAGTTCCGAGGATCTAGGCTCCAGACGAGATATTTTGCAATAACTTTCGTTAATTGCACAATGGCCCCTACAAAAAGGGTTAATTGCGAAACTGCCCCAGAATGAAAATATATTCCAAAAGATATTTTCTTAGATACCCCTGAAATAAAATATCTTCAAAAGATATTTATGAAAAACACCCCAAGAAAAGAAAAAGATTCTAAAAAATTATGCATCCATGCCCCTATGGACACCGGGAGCAACCAGAGTACTTTTATGCAAAAGTAAGGATATGTATTTCTTGGAAACTACTTAGAATGAAGATACGTGAAGTCAAAAACCAACTCTGAACATAAGGAGTGA